CCAGAGGTAATTCAGGAGCAGTTTATTTGATTTCAATTTTAATGTATGGTTTTGAGAAATTTTCTTAATATTGATTTCTATTTTTATTGCACTGTGGTCCAAGAGTGTTGTTGGTATAATTTTGTGGGTTTTTAAAAAATTTTCTAAAGATTGTTTTATGTCCAACTCTGTATATCATATTTTTATTGTACCTTTAGAGATGTTTGGATACACAAATACTTACCATTGTGCCTACACTATTCAGTGTAGTCACATGCTGTATAGGTTTGTAGCTAGGAGTAATAAGGTGTACCACATAGGTTGGCTGTATGGTAGTCTATACTATCTAGGTTTGTGTAAGTACACTCCATGGTGTTTGTACAAGAACAAAATTGTCTAAGGATGAATTTCTCAGAATGTGTCCCAGTCGTTAAGTTATATATGACTTGTAGTAATTCCTAACAAACTGGAGACAGTGGTAGAAAAAAAGTATTTTATTTCATTGTATGTCCTTTTATATTCTTCAAATTTGCTTAGTTGTGCTTACATTGCTTTTTTTTTAATGTGCATTTTTTAAACAAGTGGAAGAGAACATGGAAAGAAAGAATTTCATTACTTGAGCATAGTTTGTTTTTTCCAGGCCTACCAAAATAACACAATCTTACTGCAAGAAGAGACACACCCTGGAATAATATCAGGAGGCTGACGCATGCTCTTCCGATTTTTCTCAGAATGAGAAAATGTAAATTTTAACGTTTAAATTTTTTTAACATACGTAATCTTATGAGTGACAGGGTTGACTATAGAAAAATTCTTCATATTTCCCTGAGAGTTTAGAAAAGATAGTGGTTACTACTGATATTTACCATTATAGAGCACTTATTTTTCTCAGGTATTACATCATTTAATTCTCGAAACCAGGACTGGCTACATAATTTGTGGGCCCAGTGCAAACTGAAAACAAGGGCTTCCTGTTCAAAACCTAAGAATTTCAAGACAGTGGAAGCAGAGCTTGAAAACAAGCATGGAAGTCTTCTGAGCAGGGGCCCTGGGCAACTGCATAAATTACCAGCCCATGAAGCTGTCCTTGCTTGTAATATACCTGTGAAGAAATGTGTTATTCCTACTTTAAATATGAAGAAAATGATGCACAGATTTGAGAAAAGAACCAACCAGCCCCAAATGTCACAGTATATAAACTATGGATCTGGTGTTGAATAACTGTGGAGCTTGGCTCCAAGGCCTCTACTTACAATCACTCTAAGAGGAATCAGCTCCCAAATGTAGAGACAAGTAATTCTAAACTATTTCCCATTTTTACTAGGCAAATTAACTTACAGATCAAATGAATAGTACTTTAAAAGGAAATATATTTTATTTTCATGATCTCATTTGAGAGTCTTAAATAGACTCATAATCAAAATGGAGAAAGGTGACTGGGTGATAGTATAGTTAGCTAAATAAAAAAATTGTTGAATATAGGTCAAAATATAGTCTACTCTAGTTTTGACTCTGCCATATTAAACAATTTAGTGTAGGCACTAAATTATTCTTACCGTGCTTGCAGTTTTCCTCTTTCTAGTGCATTGAGTGACAGGAGTATAATTCCATAGATCTTGACATATAAATAGAAATGATAGATTTAAAACAACAGTTTGGCAAAACTTTAAAAATTTTTCTTTGCTTACAAAAGCAACATTTTGCGGATAATATCTTATAGTAGAAATTTGGGAACTAAAGGAATACAGAAATATACACTGTACAACAGAAATTATCTCTACTTTGTCAAAAAAAACCAATGTTTATGTCTAGCATTGTTTATTCAATACTATAAAGCAAACATTTTCCAATGACATTAAAATATTTGAAATATAATACTCCATCCACATTCATATACCATAATTTACTTAAACTATCATCTGTAGCATTAGGTTGTTTCCAAAATTGACTGTTTTAAAGATCCTATAAACAAGGATAAATGTTGTATGTAGCCTTCAGCATCAAATTAAATTTAAATGTTAAAATGCTAGCTGAGAGAAATCTGTTTTCGTAACATTTAAAGAGAAAATTACTTGATTATGTTTGGTGTATATAATTATTTTGTATACTAGTATTTTTCATATGGCATTCATCTTCACAATTATTTGTGTGATTATCATCTTCCTTATTTTACCATAAGGTTCCTAAATACAGAGTTTCTATTTGACTCATTTCTGAATGTCCTATAGTGACTATATATTCAACAAACATTAGAATTTTATTGAAACCTTGTGGTTCAGCTGCTGAATAACTTACACAGTTTTAGAATTCTTTGATTGACTATGGTGTCCAAAGCCAAGAAGCATTGGTTTTGGATGACGAATCAAATTAGATCTACTTCTAGCAAATAAATGGCATTATAGAGTTTGAAAATGATATTTATCAGGGTCATGATTATTAGATTTCAAATCTTTAAGACTATCAGGTAGAAATGATACTCAACTTTGCTTTCCTTCAGAGTTCAAAGCAAGTTTTAACAAGAGGAAGTCTTAATGAGGCAGGATTCCTCTGGTTGTTAAGAAGATCTTTCCCAATGGGGAAAGTTTGCTTCCATGCCAAGAAAGGAGTTCTTTTTTTCTGGGAGTAGCGAGTTCTGTAATAATCAGGAGGTTATGTTAAATGGCCTTCATAGTCCCTCTCCTGTCTACATTTCCTAATGATTCTAACACATAATTAAGTGTTTATAGTCAATAACTAAAAGCCGTAAGGAAATTTAGTACATGACTTTTTATTCTGATTATATGAAGTAGGTTTTGAAAGTGATTATTGATTTGTTATATGTAATGAGTTCTACCTTGTATTTACAGGGTGAATGCACAGTTTTCTTATTTCTCCATCCCAAAGGAAATGAAGTAGTATTTTTCAATTACAGTGTAGTAGTGATTATTATATAGAACAATTACAGACTCATGTCTTACTCTTTTATTAAAAATGATTCATTTTTTTCTCATCAGGCTTAGTATATTTTTAAATGCAGCTTCACAGTATATCATGTTGTCATTTCCCTTTACCCTCCATGGGTACATGTATCCAATTTTATAAGTAGATATCAATAAGAAAATATTAATATTACAGAAATTAAGACCCAAATATTTAGTAGCAGATGTGCTCTATAACATTAGATATAACTGCATAAATTAGCTTGGTATTTTCAGAATGTCTGCATTCTGGTCTGTATGTTTAAAATTAGGTCTTTTCTTAATCTGCAAAATATTATCTTCTAGCCACCACTGTATGCAAAGAAAGTTTGCTTATAGTTAAAAAAATATTCAAATAAATAAATTATATAGGGATCCTACTAAAAACCATATTTTCTTTGCAAAGAAAGTTTGCTCATGGTTAAAAAATACTCAGAAAATAAATGCTCTTGGAATCCTGCTAAAAACTACAGTTTCTTTCTGACAAGAAATCTAATTTTATCACGTAGTGGTCATTTTGTGTTGGGTGGCGTGTTTGAGTTTATATTTTAAGCCTTTTTTTTAGAGCTATGTTGCTTTCTGCTTTCATCTTGACATAACTTGTCAATAGACTACAATTAAAGTTGTTTGAGGTTCAGTGATTGATTCTAAATAGTGAATTTATGGAGATCCTAGAGAAGATAAAACCTGTGCTTGGCAAATGTAGAAACTATAACTCTTAGTATCCTTTTAACCTACCAAAATGGAAATCCTTCAGGCCCTCACACATGTAAAGATATGTCTTCAACAAAAGGTAGCCTTTTTAAGCTATATATGTCAAAGCAATTTTTACTTAAAACATCATGGAAAAGATTTTATTCCTTCCCTGTTAATTGCCAATTTGGAAGCTGAAATAAGAAGATCCTGAGGCTTTTCCCATTTCCTCACATGAAAGGAATCAGTCCTCATGTGTGAGGCAGGGAGATTACTACAAACCCTTCCCTTACCTCTTGGCAAATTCAGGAAAATTGCTAAAATGAATCTTGACCCAGCCAGATCCCTGCTCCTATGACTGTAACTAAAGGCAGTTTCAATGCAGGCCTCTTGTGATTTCCTTGGAAATAGAACTTGTAAGTAAGTTGGATTACCACAAGGGTAATGATTACCATCCCAAGAGGTAACATTACAATCATCATAAGAGGAGCTCTGTGAGACAGAGGATAAGGAACAATGGTCTCACCATTATATGACTTGTCTATCTCATAATGCCCATATATTGAGGTGATGGCCTCTCATGTCTTGGCTCACAAAATGTGTTTTTCCAAAGATGGATGAACTGTTGCCCACTCCCCCGCCCGCTACCAAAAGTATGAACAGGAAGTAATTGTGATTGTAAACCAAGAAGTGTCTCCAATGATGAATTTGGGAACTCAAATATTTGAACATAACCACTAATTTAAATCAAACAAGAGTGGTGTGTTTTTTAGCATTTGAATAGCATTCAACATTAAGATATGTATGGACTAATAAGTACTTTATGTTAATCTTTTATTGTAATTTTAAAAGTCGGTTCACTTACTTGATTAAAGAGTCGCTCATTACCAAGTTGAAATAATTTTATTTAAAAATGTATAACATAAAATAATGTATATGATAACCTAAAATGCATTCTACAAACTTAATAAGCATTTAAAATGTGCCAGGCAATGGAATTGGCACTGATGTACGTTACTAAAATTTATATTAAACATTTAAAGCAGCATGTAGAATTAACTATCAGAATGAATTACACACTACATTGTTCTCCTTTGTCCCCACCCCTTATTTCCTACAGTTTGACCAATAAATTGAAGGGGCACTAGATTTACTTGCGATGTTGAGATTACTTTCCTTTGCTATTTTAGTCGAGCTAACTTAAGTCAGATAAAACAATTTTATTTGGCTTCAATATGGTGCTATTTTGATCTGAAGGTCAATCTACCAACAAGCAAGAACAATTTCTCATTATTTTCCTTTCCCACTCCAAGCAGTCTTTACTGAAGTCTTTCGAGCAATGTCTGACCTCTGTTTCAATACTTCTCACAGATTTCACAGGCTGTCACCACCACTCAGCCATCACTAACACAGACAACTGTAATGGAAACAGTAACTATGGTGACCACAAGGGAGCAAATCCTGGTAAAGCATGCTCAAGAGGAACTTCCACCACCACCTCCCCAAAAGAAGAGGCAGATTACTGTGGATTCCGAAATTAGGAAGAGGTGAGAGCATCTTAAACTTTTATCTGCAAATGAAGTGGAGAAAACTCATTTATAGCAGTTTTGTTGGTGGTGGTTAAACTTCAGCAATATTTCTAGACGCCTCAGGTACCTGTAATGTCAGTTAATGTAGTGAGAAAAATTATGAAGTACTCTTTAAAATTTTCCCAAGAAATCACTATCGCGATATAAACTAAATGCTTAATGGAAATGGTGTTTTCCGGAGTGAAAGTACAAACTATAGGTGATAAACTACTGTGGTAGCATTTTAATCCTAAAAGTTTCTTCTTTTTTTTTTTTTTCCTTATAAAGGGCCTGCTTGTTGAGTCCCTAGTTTTGCATTAAATGTCTTTTTTTCCAGTAACAGAAAGTGCATTTTCATCAAGAAGTACACCTATAATAGATGAGATCCACCCTGCTAGTTTACGAGAACATGATGTCTCAATCTGCGCATCCTAAATCAGGAGTAATTACAGAACAGATTTTCTGTTCTTTGATATTTTTAAAGTCTTATCTTGAAGGTGTTAGAATTTTTAACTGATCTTTTTGTGAATATTCAAAATTACGCATTTTAGATAAGTTAGGTATTATGTAAATCAGTGGATCTATTAAAATGATGGCAATAAAATTTTATGAGTGCAAAGCTGGCATAAAAATTATTTTAAAAGGTACAGTTTCCCTTTCATTCCAGTTATTGTAATTCTAAGATTAAGAAAGAACATTAAAATCTACCGTATGTTTCTAAGCAGCATATGTTTAGAAACTCATGGAACACTTGACATTAGAATTTGTGTATGCCAGGATAGAGAAGTATGAAAAGAACACACATCTAAAAATACCATGTCAGATGTTCTAAGAAAAAAATCTAGAAAAGTTATTCAAATATATTATTTGGGACTTTCAGTACTTCTCCATTAACTAATGACTTATGACCTACTTTGATAATTCCAAAGAAAATCACTGGGCCTTTTCTCCCTGGTTGTGTCAGCTTGGCTAAGCAAATCTGCTAGTCCAGGGGTCAGCAAACTAAGGCCTGCTAACCAAATCTAGCATGCTGCCAGTTTTGTATGGCTCATCAGTCAAGATGTGTTTTTACATTTTCAAATGGTTGAAAATAAAAGAAAAACAATATTTTATGACATGTCAAAATTACGTAAAATTCAAATTTCGGTGTTATGAGTAATGTTTTAGTGGAACAGTCTTACCGATTTATCATTTATGATTACTTTCACATTACAAAGGCAGAGTGTGAATAGTTGTAACAAAAACTGTGTAGTCCACAAAGCCTAAAATATTTGTTATCTATCCTGTCACAGAAAAAGTTTGTTGACCTTTGCTCCGGTCAAATGGCTCTCAAACTCTATGAATGTTAGTATTCTTTCTGGGGCAACAACTATCAGGAACTTCCAAGCCCTCTACTCTTGGTGGTAATAGAAAGTCTAACAAAAATTGACGGAGTAAAAAAGTATAATGGCACACATCCGTGAAGCTTTTGATGAATTTTCTTTTTATTATTCCTAGTAAGATGTACGTTAACTTGTTTGTTGTCACATTAAACATGTGTTATGCACAATGCTTAGTGGACATATAGATTTATGGATACTTTGCAACATTCCAGCAACCCTCCAACAGTTCTCCAAACAGAGTAATAGGGACACCTAGTTGCCTAACCCTCTTAATGTCTTCTTGCCTAATACAGAAATTAACAAAGCAGGCGGATTCATGTCAATCTCTGTCTTCAGAAGCTTATTATTGGCTTCTGTTTGGAGAATGGATTGTGTTGGAAAAAAAAAAGTTTGTTCTGATTTCTTTTTGTTTTCAGGAAAGAGTGACTGACTGGTGGTGAAATATCTTGTCTCCAACATTTGTTTGTATCATAAGTTTTCAGCAATTTTTGTAAGTGCCTAAATGAGAAGTCCCACTGGGCACATAAGGAAAGATTCTTCAAATAAAAGTTAACATTAATTGAGGATTTATTATGTGCTCAGTAGTAGATTCAGTGCTTTATTGGGAATGTGTGTATTTTTCCCAATAACCTCCCAAAATAGGTATGGCTATTACAACTTTATAAAATTATACACAGCAACAGAGTGCCTGAGCCAGGATTTGAACTGAGATAGCTACAAAACCTGGACTGTGTAGTAAAATGTCTTTTTCATGGATATATGAGTAAGGTATTCCTATTGATTTACCTGAAGCTATCCTAGATTACACCTGTCATCCCAGCATAATTATATATAGCATCAACTTTCACTCTCAAGTATGTCCTGATTTGGACAGCAAAATTATCTGATCACTCTATATAAGACACTTGATTGATAAATTTAGACTGAACGAAGTTAGCAAAAAGGCAAACGTTTAGGAACAAATTCATTAATTGATAATTGTCTACAGGGTGGAATCTTGTTAAAGTATTGTAATGATTAAAGAGACGTCATGCAAATATAACCATAAGCTTTATATTAACTAGTGCCTCGTTTTTGTATCATGCGAAGCCCACTAATATTTCACTGAATATTGAGGTCTTGACCATCTGTTGAATATTGTTTTATTTAAATCATGTCCTCTTCCAGCTTCTTTGACACACTACCAGTTGTCACCCACGACTCTTTGCCTGACTTGTTTTATTCCTTCTGCCTAATTCCTATGGGAGTATCACATAAATCCATCTCTTTGCCTTTTTGACTTCTTTTTTTTCGTTTGTTTGTTTTTGCTTTGTTTTGTTTTGTTTTTTGAGACAATGTCTTGCTCTGTCACCCAGGCTGGAGTGCATTGGTGCAATCTCAGCTCACTGCAACCTCCGCCTCCTGGGTTCAAGCAATTCTCTTCCTCAGCCTCCCGAGTAGCTGGAATTACAGGCGCCTGCCACCACGCCCTGCTAATTTTTTTGTGTTTTTTAGTAGAGACAGGGTTTCACCGTCGTGGCCAGGCTGGTCTTGAGCTCCTGACCTCGTGATCCACCCACCTCAGCCTCCCAAAGTGCTGGGATTACAAGCATGAGCCACCGTGCCTGGCCTTTTGACTTCTTTATCTGAATTATCTCCTCTCATTGATTCGAGCCTGGCTGTAAGTGACTGACTCCCAAATCATGTAGCTCCAGATGTGACACTCTCCCTCAAATTAAAGCTTTATATCTCTAAAGCTATTTCCACTTGTGCATCCAGCCACTGCCTCAATGTTCATTTTTATCAAATGCAAACATTTGTTCCTTCCAATTAACCATACCTACTTATACATTGCACACATATTTTAGTTATTATAATTCATTGCCTGTGTGTCTAGAAGAGTATCAAATATTGAAAAAATCATGGCTTTTGGAATCAGAATTACTCAGGTTTGAATTCTGCCTGTTTTTTTTTGTTTTTGTTTTTGTTTTTGTTTTTTCCCCAACTTTTAAGTTCAAGGGGTAAATGTACAGGTTTGTTACATGGGCAAATTGTGTGTTGTGGTTGTTTGGTGTAGAGGTAATTTTGTGTCTCAGGTAATCAGCATAATATCTGATAGGTAGTTTTTCCATCCTTATCCGCCTCCCACCTTCCACCCTCAACTAGACCCCAGTGTCTATTGTACCCGTCTTTGTGTCCATGTGTACTCAATGTTTAGCTCCCACTTAGAGGTGAGAACCTGTGGTATTTGTGAAACCTGCCCATTTTAATTACTAGCTTATGAGCGCAGGCAAATTACTTGTTATCTGTGCCTCAGATTCCAGTAATCTCACTTTATAAAACACCAGTCATGAGTATTAAATGAGAAGCATTTAATACATTGCCTTTAAGGTGGTAAACATTCAATAAATGCAATGGTTATGATTCTTGTTTGGTGGTGGAGACCGTAGAGACGATGAAGATGGAGGAAGATTGTGATGGGTAGGAGGGATAAAAGTGATGGTGGGAGAGGTAAAGATAGTCGAGGTGGTGATGATGATGGTGGTGGAGGTAGTGATGGAGATGGTAGTCACATATTATTGACAGGGAAAAATTCCGTAGTAAACATTATCTCAAACCTAACAAATATAAAATTACCTTCCTGTTTTCCTCTTCAAAACAGCATTTACCACCTGACATCTACAGTTCTGTGAATCTTATACTTTCTTCTCCTTATTTATTATAATTAGATTGTAAGGGCAAGTGCCATCATTTCAGTCATTTCATGATCATTCACATTGCCAAGTCCATAACCTGAGCCATATACCTCACTGTGGAGAGAACTGCCCTCCTTTCTAATTGATCGACCTAAAATGAATAGATCTAAAATGATGCTTTTTGCTGTCTCTCCAGTCCTGCAAATTTCCATAACCCGAGATGCCTCCAAAACAAAACTCAAGCACTTCCTATGGCATTAAGCATTATTCTCATTCTCCACTAATTCTATGTCTACCTTCCCAATAATAATTATTCCACTTCAGCCGGTAAATTACATTCATTTGGTTGTATGCCTTCACGCCACTCACATAAAATTTCTCATTGCCAGTCACAACAAAGAAAGCCTATTATTACACTTCTTTATATTTTACTTAGATTCCACTGTAGTAAATACTGTGGATACAATAAATAACCAATAAATGTTTGTTGAGAGAGTGAATGGTATATAATTCAAATAATTGTAGTAACTAAGATTTGACATTCCAATATCATTTAAAAATTCTACCTAGCTGTTCCTGGAATTGTTCTTGATAATAAACATGTGACCATTCTAATGATCTTTAATAATTCCAATTTTACCCATTAGGGTATCCTTATTTACTCAAAACAATTAAGGGATTTAAAATTCAGCTTTCTACCACAACATAGTTTCTTAGCAATCTAAGGTACATTTAGTTGATTCCTAAATAATTACACAGTTTCTACATATGTTGTATTTATTGCATACATTTTTCTCTTTACACTGAGATTTGCAAAAGTGATGACCTTGGGTCACAACACAATTATTTCTAATAGCGGATTATTCCTGCAATTCAGTGCTATTACTTTACATGTAGGTAATTATCAGTGGAACTCAGCCTA